CCCCCCCCCCCCCAAGAAGGCCTGAAGGCCTCTTCCTTGGTGAACAGAAGCAATGGCTCACAGTCAACCATGTTTCCCTTGCCGTCCATAGGTAGGTGGCTTTGACGGAGCAAATCGACTTAGGAGTGCGGAAGCCTACAGCCCAGTAGCTAACACTTGGCGCACGATACCCACTATGTTTAATCCTCGTAGCAATTTTGGCATCGAGGTGGTAGACGACCTCTTGTTTGTGGTGGGCGGCTTTAACGGCTTTACCACCACCTTTAACGTGGAATGCTATGATGAAAAGACAGACGAGTGGTATGACGCCCATGACATGAGCATCTACCGCAGCGCCCTGAGCTGCTGTGTGGTGCCGGGGCTGGCCAACGTCGGGGAATATGCGGCTAGACGGGACAACCTCACAGGATTAGCACTGCGAGATGAAGTAAAATACTCCGCTTCGACAAGTACCCTACCTGTATGAGCCTCTTCATTTAGCTAATAAAGAGTCTAAGCAATAAGAATTACCTCTTTTTTTTTTTTTTTTTTTTTTTTTAATAAATGCAGTGTTTAAACTTGTAAGAGTACTGGAAAATGTTCAACTTAAGGGAGCCAAAGGTTGGATGAATGAGGGAGTAAGAGGGAAGGAAGTAAGCATTTGTATCCAACAGTGTATCATTAAAAGGGAAAAGTCACACGGTACAAACCAGCTCTAAAGAAATATGTTTATTTAAAACTTACATTGAGACAACTGATAGCTTCAACACAGAACAAGATAGTTTTAGGAACATAAAACAGGCTATTTTACAATGTGATGTCTCAAAAGCGTCCTAAATTCTACATCTCCTCTGACTTAAAGGGAGATAGCCAAGATTATACTTTGAGTAGAGTAAGGGCTTGGATACTGATAGCCCCCAAAAGTCACTGTGTATCAGCTTGAACTAAATATGTATTTTACAAATAACTCAGTGAGCCCTAGCACATGGACCATAGTCTTCAAACATCTAGCAAGCTTAATTTTTCACAAGTGCATTATGCAGGAGGATTAAGTGAACAAGTGCTCTACTGTATGTGCTTCAGTGTCAGACATTCGTAGTGATGCTCAGAGAGTAAGACAAAAGCCCTACGAAGGTAATCAACAAAGAGCAGTTATTTGGCTATCTAATTAAATTCCTTGAAGCGAGATGGCTACTATATTATGTTATTGTTATTGTATTATGTCACTCAACTATGAGCTGTTTGGTTCCCAATGACCAGAGCACGTTATAATGTAGGCATTATAACAACAAAAATGGACTATTCTCAAGAAAGCAACAAACTGGAGTGATGGACTGTGCCAAAATGTTTGATAATTAAAGGAGAGACCAAAGCGTTTCTCAAATATTCTACAGTTAAATGGCAACCTAGAAATACCTTATTTTGCTAATGGAGGCAGGGAACCTACTTCACAATTCTGTAGACTTTCAAAAGACAGGAAATGTGGCCAACACACCCTTTTAATTTAAGCTTAATTTGAGGAAAGTACAAAAAAGTCCCTTTATCTATGTTTGATTAGGCCAAGTAAGTAAAATATATGTTTAGTTTACTTGTCTACCTACAGTACAGTGTCTCATTAGAATTATGAAGCAGAGAATGAAGTATTTAAACATATGACATGCTACACTAGTCAAGAAACAGAGAAAAAAGAGTGCCCTAGAAACTGCCTTACCAGTAGCCTGAAGAGTTTAAAGAGCAAAAGCACACAAGTCTTCGGTAAACACTATCTTTCCAGCTTCAAACTTCTGTTCTATGTATTTTAAAAGTTTTTGGTCCCAGCAATACTATATAAAACTAAGTGATAAAAACAAAACTGATGTCAATCAATTTTGAGATTTTTTTTCAGCAAAATATTTTTGAGTTGGCACAGCAAAAACAAAGTTGGATATACAAGATCTACAAGACATCATGCAAACGTCTGCAAGTGAGATGTACTACTTACACACTAAGCTCATGACTGACATTCTCAATATACACCACGGGTTTGTTTTTTTAAAAACCACGGTGGGGTAGGTGGAGGTGGAGGACCTCCATTCCAAGATACAAGTCATGCTAGGGGTTAGGTAAAGGTATTACTTTTTGGTCCTCTTTTATCCTTCCACAAAACAAAAACAAAAGCAACAACAACAAAAGGTTCACTTGAATACATGTGAAGCTGTCTTTTTAGAAGTTTAAATGACCAAACACATTCTTTAAGTTTTTCATCAGAAAGGAAATTTCTTTCCCAAAGAGCCACTTTAGGCTGGTTGTCATAATCAAAACCTTTCCAAATACTCTGAAAGTTATTTCCAGTTTAGAATTTCAGAATGTCAGCCTTGAACAGATTTAAGCAAATCTGGTTTCCTTTCCTATTAACAAGTTAGTTAGGATATTTCAGAGACACAAGTTATTGATGTGAAGTCACACGTGTGAATTCAAATATGAAAATTAGAAATTCAGTAATCAGGAAAACCTGCACACATCATCATGCAAGGAAGGACTTACCCCTTCTTTTCAGCCATGGCCTACGCTGCCTGCTGAGTTAAAAAACAACAGTTTCAATCAAGTTTTCAGAACCAGATTATACCTAAATCTTTTGAGTTATAATTTGTCGCATCATGTGAAAAAAGGCCACCCTCCAAAAACTTGGTAGTGACAGTCTCAGAAGACAACTCAGAGATAAGATCCAAAAACCTTACATCACACCTCCTGGACAGAAACTGCCATTTTAGTGAGCTGCTGAGTTACTTCACCACTAAGAAGAGGAAGTTTGCTAGGCGGCATAGTCTATCAGAGACGAGAACATCACTCAACGAGCTTTTCTGCCTCAGGTGCATAGACCTCTCACAACTAAGAATGAGCACTTCTCAGAATTGAAATGGCTTTTATTAAAATAACTACAAATGGAAATTGATAAAATGGTAGAGGTGGTGTAGGATAATATATCCTCATACAGAAATAGGACTTGAAGTTTACGACCCCCACTCCAATCTAAATTAAATGGTTTTAAAGCAGATTTCCGACACATTTATTGAAAAACTTTGTCCTAGGCAAGGATACCAACTTAAAAATTTCAGGAAAGCTCTTAGTATAGAGTCCAGGGACTAGATATTAATAGTCTTGCAGCAAATTGAGAGCCAAAATTTCTGGTTGTGCTTTTTTCCTTTTGATGTTTGATACAGTAAGGTTAAGTATAATGGTCTAGGGAAAAAAATAATCACTGCACTTGGAGTTCAACTCCTAAAACAGTATCCTGGAATGTCTAAGAAGATGATATTCTGAAAGAAATAAGAAACATATACAATGGAGCCATTTTGCAAACCATTAGAGCAGGAGTCCTTTAGGTTAACTGAGTTCTCATTTGTATAAAACTTGGGAGTGTGTTAGAGAATCAGAAGAATGCATAAGAATAAATAAAAGATAACTAAAGCAATAAATTTTTAAGAGCCTTAATTATGCACCGAAATTTGGTATTCAAGGCTCAGGTAAAGTCTGAATAAAAGTCTAGGGAAACTGGATAAACTACTAGAACAGTCAGGGCTGAGAAACAGTAAGGCTTCTCTTACGCAACATTTTTCTCAATTGTCACTTCCTTCCCATTTTGAGAAAAGTTTCTTTTAGAAAGAATGAGGAGGACTCTATACAATATACTTTAGAGGACAATTTAAAACTGAAGGCATTGTATCGATTGTCATAGGCATTATTTACACTCATTAACTTATCCTCAAATACGCCTGCAACTTCTGAAAAAAGTGTTTACATGTTTTAATGCCTTTGCTCAGTCTACCTAATAATACTACTTTTCTTCTTAGAAAAACAAATTTCATATACATAACGTCCTCTGTATTAAATCAATGAGCTAAAGATCAACACTCTTGCCAACAACCATCATCTCAAAGTGATGGCTCCCAGTCTAGAACGGTTGCTGAAGAAATGGAAAATATTCAAAAAATAATGGGGCCAATCACAAATTTCTCACTAGTCATCTCTTCTAAAACAAAACAGCATTTCTAGATAAACACATACAACAAAACATCAATGCAAATATTCAGAAACCATCCTGCCGAAACATTGTGCTTTTCCCTTCAAATCTCAGTCTCACTATTGCACATACCTCCTGCAGATGAGGGCTCGGGCTCAATGCGTAAGTTCTGCTCTTTTCAAAACCACCAACCATTCAGGAAAAAATTAAAAGGAGTATCAAAGTAAACGTGCAAATAAAACTGTTGCTTAAAGCATGTTCAAAACATCAAGTCCCTAAGACAAAGGAGTTTTCACTTGTTGGCAGAAAAACAGCCAAGTAACTATACCTGGTTCTTCCACTTGTCATTAATAAGATCTAACTTGGCTAGCACATCCACACAAACCGAAGACAGACAAAGACTGCACACCAACAAAAATTACCACATATTAAATCGTGTTTCCCATTCTTCAGTTTTTAACTGTGTTTCCTTTATATGGGGCAATAATCAGGTAGGTAGAAAATAAGTTATCGACATACTTTTTCAAGTAACAGTCTGGGGATCTTCAGCCTCACAAGACAGGTACAACTGTTTTAAGCTGCACCTATTAGAGCACCTAGCATTCAATCTGAGAGCTTGGCACTCTTCTCATGTTCAGGGCGTGCCGATGTATTTCTTGCATCTGTCTGATGCGGTCCTTCTGCCACATTAAGTTTTGAGGCATAGGATATCTCTGTGTGCCATGCAAGTACCGGTACGGGATCCTCACATGGCAAGCGGTGGCTCTACAACGAGGCTGTGGCATGGGAGGAAGAAGCATCCACCGCTTTCTTTCAGCACAATATCGGTAGGCTTCTTTCCGGTACTGTTTGTCGATATCATCGCTGTTTTTCCAGCCTCCAATAATGAAAACGTCATCTCTGTAATAGCAGATAGCCGCTCCTTCGATGCTTAGGACTTCAGGAGGTAAGCTCTCAAGGATCTCATCGGACACTTGGCTGGCAATTTTTCTTACTGCCTCTTCATTTTCTAAAGAATAACTCTTGGGACAGCATGATGCCGTCTGGTAAAAGTTTGAATTGACCACAGACATTTGGAAAAAACAGTAATTGTCAATAAGCGGCAAAGATTCCACATCTTGCCACTGTCGAGTCTCCGTATCATAGCAGGTAATTACAGCCTTTAACCCATCTTCGGTGTCCCGGTCCACGGGAGTGCGGGCAGCGATGTACACAAACCGGTCTTCGATGGCTAGTGCTTTGACATCCCGGAGGATCTTTGGTGCTGATTCCAAGTTGTGCCATTTATCAAGCTCAGGATTATAAACAGTCACGTCTTTGAAACCAGGGCTGAAGTTGCCATGCCCTCCAATGCTGTAGAGCTTCCCTTTGACTTCTGTTAACCCAAAAGAATGCTTTCTTGTCATCAGACTACAAACATGTTCCCACGTATTCAAATTTGGGTTGTATCTTTCCACAGTTTTAGCAAACCCTGGTTCCATCGATCC